TAACTTCATTAAGGCTTTATTGCTTATTTATTTTGTGGTGTGCTGGTGCCAGATGAGCCTTTTACCCTGTCTGTGGATTAGGAATGGGTCCAAGCTCAACTATAAAAGTTTTCAGGAAACTTTAAAATGCTTTCAGCTGCAAAACCTATATTGATGTATCTTGTGATAAATGGATAAAAYGCTTCACATGGTTTTGAAAGTGTATTCCACCACTTGAGATCTGTACTCTTGAGAGTGCATAACAGGCAGGAATGAGTTGATGGAGCAAAAAACAAGTTAGAGTAATTGCAGAGTTCATCTTAAAGTGTGATTCTAGCAGAAAAAAAAAGGCACCTGCCATATCAAGAGAGATTACAAGATAGGCTTTTGAGGAAGGGGACCCAATAATAATGCATAACTCAAGTTCACTGTCCCCTAAAACGTTCACAGTTAATTTGATGCTTGACAAATTGTGATTTCAGTGTCTGGTGAAGAAGCAATTGACCCTAAAATTGCTGCCTGAAGCTGAACCAACGTTTTGAGTTTCATAAGCAGTGTCATGCAAAAATAGTATGTGAAGAGAAACAGGAGAAATGCAAAATGTCTGCGGTCTTGCTCTTACACATCTCTCCTCACCCTGACCCAAGCAATTGGCATGTAGTGTAGGCAGTGGATGCTGCTGCAATGCTCAAAGCAATTTACATCCCATTCATTCATCCATCCATCCATCCCGTTATGGCATATCATGATATTTTTTTTTTCCTCCACAAACCTTCTGAGCTGATAATTTAAAGCTGCCTCTTATAACAAGTCAAACTTCAACAACCACCTCTTGTTTTCCCTCAGAAATGTGTCTGCAGTGTTGTCAATGAGCACGCTGCTCTCCTGTCCCCTCCCCATTCTAAATAAACCAGTTTAGCAGCTCTCCTGTGCGAATTCTGCCGGTTCTGAGTCATCCATACATTTTTGTTTTGTTCCTTCCTCGTGTTTTTGCACACCACATTTCCCGCCATTCCCGCCTACTCAACATCTGCTTTCGTGTGACCTCTCCTATCCTGATAAAATCATTAATGTTAAG